AATCACAATTTTATGTTAGGGAATTTTTTATATATAGATGAAGTTTCAAGTCAAATTGTGTTGGAAAACTTGTCAAAATAGTTGGGAAATATATTAGAGTCCTACCTTATGCCATACATCATAATCTAGAAAAATTTCAAATTTAAGTGTGAAAAGAAAATCATGAAAACACTGGAAAAATATAGGACAAAGTTTAGTATTTTTGTAATTTTGGTGTAGACCAGGTCTTTATTAGAATAAATAACAAATTTGGAAACCATACAGAAAAAGGTATATAGACTTGAGTATATAAATTTTCTAAACTATATAACAACCAAATACCATCATAAGTTAAAGATAAATGAGTAACTGGAAAATATATGTGGAAAATATATGTGGAAAATGATTTGCCACATATAATATATAAAATATTTATATCCTATATTGTAAAAAGTGACAAAAATTAATAAATAGCTGCACCTGAGTGGCTCAGTCAGTTAAGTGTACGACTCTTGATTTCGGCTTGAGTCATAATTTCATAGTTGTGAGATTGAGTCCCATGTCGGACTTTGTGCTGAGCATGGAGCCTGCTTAGGATTCTCCCTCTCTCTACCCTTCTGCTGCTTGTTCTCCCTCTCTCTCTCTCTCTTTCTCTCTCAAAAATAAATAAATAAACAGTTAAAAAATTAATAAATACAATTAAACATTATATTGAAAATTGGGTAGAGCACTTGTTGGGATGAGCACTGGGTGTTTCTGGAAACCAATGTGACAATAAATTATATTAAAAAAAGAAAATTGGGTAGAGGACAAAAATATAAAATTTATAAAAGATTAAGTACAAATAGCTAACACGTGAAAGATGCTTGACCTCACCATTAACCAAATAAGTGCATATTAGTACAGTACCATGTCTTAACTATTGGGAAAAGATTGAAAGGATTTATATTGACCAATATTGAAAAGAATGGGAGCAATCGGTACTTTTAAAACACTTGATATATGCATATTCTTTGATTAGTAAATAATTTAACTTCAAGGAAGTTGTACTAAGAGGTACATAAGTATTTACATAAGTATGTTCATTTAATGGGGGAAAATTGGAAACATCTGTCTATCAAAAGGAGCTTGTTACGTTATGGCATATTTATACAATGTAATATTATGTAGTCATTAAAAAGATGAGTTATACACTGGCATAGAAAGATGAGCAAAATATTGTAAGTGGAAAAAAGCCCTACAAACCTAGTATTAGGGGAAAAAAATTTATATATATCTACTGAAAAAAAAATTCTGGAGAGATACAGTTTAACCTGCGGTTGAATATAACCATAGGGGTAATCTCTGAGGGCTGGGATTATGAGACATTTGTATGTTTTAATTTAAGTACTTCTGAATTAGTTTTATTTTTTCAATGTAACATGATTTTATGCTTGAGGGGAACTGGTTATTTCTTCCCCCAGGTAGAAAAGAAAGAATGTGGAGAAAACCAATGAAATGGTTGCTGTGAACTGCTTGTTTATGTCTCCCCTGCCCCCACCCCACAAATTCATATGTTAAAGCCCTAATCCTCAATGTGGTAGTATTCAGAGGTGGGGCCTTCAGGAGGAAATTGATTTTGAATGAAGTCCTGGGAGTGGAGTTCCTATCATGGGATTGGTGCCCTAAAAAAGGGATAGAGAGGTAGGAGGTCTCTCTGCCATGCGTGGATACAAGAAGGTGGTTGTCTACAAACCTGAACATGTGTCCTCACCCAAACCCGACCATACCAGCACCCTAATTTCAGTCTTTCTGTAGTGGCTCCAACTAACTAAAAACAGAATTTGAGACAGAACAACTGGGAAGGGATGCTTTTCAGAATAGGTAAGACCAAAAGTTGTTTGTAGGCCCTGGGAAAGAAACTACTGGGGAAAAGAGATAGGGAGTGTGAGGAGATTATTAGTCAACTGCCATCCTAGAGGGGCTAGAATAGCATAGCAACCTCAGGCTAACGGTAGAAAGAAGGAAAGGAAAAGAGGACAACACACATAAAAGCAGGACGATTTTTTGAGGAGGGGAGGCACAAAAGGTATGATAGCTATTAAGCCCATTTTTCCCCCTCAATGGATTGGGAGAAAAGTTTATCAGCTGAGCAGGATGTTTGGGACAGCTATCTGGAGGGGCGTAGAAAGTGTACTGCTGCTGCCTGAAATGAGGCAAGGTGTCTGAGTCATCAGCTATATGTTATGAGATTCCTGAACTCCATCCCAGATCTACCAAAGCATACTCTCTGAAGGTGGGTGATCCTAATGCACACTAAAATCTGGAACCTTTGAAATAAAAGGGCAACTAAGATTATGTACCCACCGCTGATGACAGATGACAATGATCTTAAATAGGGTCAACCAATACATTAATATGATGATCTCCAGCTTCATTCAGTAGCCTGGGAAGGGAGTACTTGAGAAAAACAGGTGGCTAGGTTATACTCAGAGTTGGGCTTTGGTAATGTGGATGTGGAAGAAAGTCAATGTGCCAGTGGAGCCTGAGATACTGGTAAGTGCATTGTTAACCTGGATGATCATGAGGTTAAGGATGGGTGGAGAAGAAGGAGCTGAGGGACTGAGTCCAAGAGGATGTTCCACACATTTGTGAAAGACAGTGGGGAAATGTGAGAACTCGAAGTTTTAGTCAGCGAGGTATGTCTTGGTGTGAAAGGTTCTGAAAGGGAAGATGGTAACACATCCCAACAATAGCCATCAAAGGGCTTCTCAACTAAAGTGGAGATAAAGTTGGCCAAGTAGAAGAGGTTGGGGAAATGAGGTGAGAGTGTGAGATAATTTTCCTTATGAACACCAGACTTGTTGAATCCCATCAGTGGAACCAAAATGGTTACTCAGGGTACAACCAGATAGGGAAGAAGAGAACGTTGGGGTCAGGGAGTGACAGAGTCAGGAGGATCTAAAAGAGCTGGGGAGGCTAGCCCTGGAGAGTCAGCATGGCAATGCATCTCAGGGATTATGATTCTAGAAGTCTTGGCAGAAGGAGGAGTCAATATGTTGGCAATGGATAGTGACCTCTCAGATGTCCACGTGGTGATAGCTGTAATTTTAGTTCAATGCTTTGCATATGCTCCTATTTTAATATATGCTGTACTCACTTGGAAGTCTTTGTCACTTAGACTATACTAGAGATCTGTGTTCCTAATTTTTGAATCCCCTGTGCCTGACACATGGTATACTCAGTAAAACCAAATGAGTGAGTGAATGAATGAATGAAAACTAAGCAGCCGCATATTTCTTTTTCTTTTTTTTTTTTTTATTTTTTTTTCAACGTTTTTATTTATTTTGGGGACAGAGAGAGACAGAGCATGAACGGGCGAGGGGCAGAGAGAGAGGGAGACACAGAATCGGAAACAGGCTCCAGGCTCCGAGCCACCAGCCCAGAGCCCGACGCGGGGCTCGAACTCACGGACCGCGAGATCGTGACCTGGCTGAAGTCGGATGCTTAACCGACTGCGCCACCCAGGCGCCCCAGCAGCCGCATATTTCTAATAGGAACTTTGGTGTGAGGGTGCAAACAGGAATGTGAGTTACGTTCACTGTGAAGTTAGTAGTTCTTGGTGATGAAAGTGAAAGTGTGACTTTTCTGAAAGGAGAATAAAAGACATAACAAAGATTCCATTCTCCTCTCCCTGAGCATGAAGTGTTCAGCACCACAAACTCAGCCTCTGCTTTCTTCAAATTCTCCCCCTAGGCAACCTCACCTTATTCTTGGCTTCAATGATCACATCTATGAACACACAGACCTTTCCTCTGAACCAAATTATTTCCCACTTACCATCTTCTCTCCAAAGCACTAGAGAGCCCCTAAGGCTTAATTGGCACAAGCAGAAGTCATGATCTTCCATGGCAATCCTCGTCTTTTTCTAGTGTTTCCTCTCCCATTACTTAGCACCTCTTTCTCCAGCAAGCCAGGGACCCAATGATCAACTTTGCTGCATCCCTCTCCTCACCTTCCATATCCAAATCACGAAGTTCTTCCAATTTTAATATACAAAGAACTCTTGAATCCTTCCATGTCTCTCCCTATCAAAGCCACACCCAGTGCTGAAATTCTGTAATATCCCCCAGTGGGTCTACATATGACCACTTCAGGACCCTCAAATCCCCTTTCCACCACATAACCTGGTAGATTTTTTTTTAAATGTTTATTCTTGAGAGAGAGAGAGCATGCATGCATGCATGAGCAGAGGAGGGGCAGAGAGAGAGGGAGACACAGAATCCAAAGCAGGTTCCAGACTCTGAGCTGTCAACACAGAGCCTGACACTCAAACTCACAAACTGTGAGATCATGACCTGAGCTGAAGTCAGACGCTCAACCAAATGAGCCACCCAGGAGCCCCCACGTTGATTTTTTTTTAAACTCAAATTGGCGGTGTTGTGTTCTCACTTAAACCACCTTCATGGCTTATCATTGCTTTGCCCTGAATATGATTTATAGGGCTCAGGATGTATGGTCTGACTCCCACCTAGGGCTTCAGGGTCTTTTTGCACCGTGTTCCTTCATTGTCCCTGGGAGCCAGCTAGTAGGTTGGCCAGAACATCATACTGTTCCCACCCCCACTGCCCAAGGCCATTGAACATGCACTTCCCCCACTTCAGGTAGTGAAGCCCTACACTTCCTTCTGATCTCAGCTCGGACATGATTTCCTTAGAGAAGCCATCAGAGATACCTCCATTGAAGTGAAATCCCCCTCTTTTATTCGCTCATAGAAGTATGTCTTATATCTTTATAGCATACATCTCAATTATGATTTCATATTTCTGTGTGTATGATTGTTTCACTATGCCTGTCTTCCTCAGACTCTAAGCTCTGTAAAGGACAAGAACTATGTGTGCTTTGCTAAATGCAGTGCTTGGCACATAATGAGTATGCTATAAATATTTCTTAGATGAGTGAATAAACAGACCAAAGAACACCCTTGTATGATATTAGTTGTAGTCACAGCAATAAAGTCCTGTTTCTCTGGTTCATCTACTGGGACTTTGGAATAGTGTGGTCACAAGTAATCCTTCTGGACAATGGTATCCATGATAACTTAACCAAGAATTAAAGCCAAAATGCTACATTCCTGTCCTGGCTCTGCAATGATGTGCCCTCAGGTAAGTTATAATTTCTTTAGGTCTAAACTCTACCTCACCTACAGATTAGGTATCTCCTTCTGTCCTTTGACTCTCAATAGCTGTTTTCACCAGATCTCACCTCCCTCCCTTCCTGCCTGCCTCCTCAGTTGGAAATGACTGTAGGCCTCCTGCAAAGGTAGGGAAAGACCTGAAACAGAGCTGGCTTCTCTGTGGGAGGGTTGGGAGGCAGCACAAAGCGTGGGTACTAATTCCATGGCACTGCCTTGATATTCAAAAACAACTGATGCATTCTATCTCTTCAGACAAACTAGCTTTAAAAAACAAGGCTTAAATATTTGACATGACAGGAAGCTAGTCCTAAACAATTTGTTGCCTACAAGGATGATAATTCATCAAACTTAAATGGCATAACGTAGAAGGATTATTTAGATGTATTTAACTCCTTTCTTGTTTAACTGGCGTGGCATATACTCAGACTGATCTCTTTCTGGCTCAGTGATCTCCAACAGTTTCAAGCTGCTATTGTTTATTTTCTATGAATTTTGCTTAAATATTTCATGGTAAACAAAAGGGAGTAACTAGATTTTCAAACCAGAATCCTCCTTCAGAAGAAAGTCAACAAGTTGCTTTCTCCATCATTTTAATTCTTGGATCCCAGTCTATCCTCAGTAGACGAAACCCAGCCACAGTAACCAAGGAGGAGATCCATCCTGTCCTAAAAACTTGCAATGGTCTCTTTGTAGGTTTGTTTCTCCATCTCTAGAATGGATGCAGCTGTTCTTACCACCCTGAGGAAGGTGTCATTAAATCACTGGAATTACATTGGAAGAAAACAAGAGGGATTAATCTTGCAGAACAATAGATCTGTATTTGCTTCATATTCTCCAACGTGCATGAAAAGTTCCTTCAGAAGAGAATGTTTACACTGGATGTATCTGTACCTGATTTGACAATCCCAAACTACACCCCAACCACCCACTTCTGAACAGGAGAAAAAAAAAACAGAAGACTGCAATTGTGTAACATGCAAATCTTCTGGACGGGAGCCCATCGCTGTGGTTTGGCAACACAACCAGCACAACATCTCTTTTCTCATCTCTTGAAGAAAAAAACAAAATAAAACAAAACAAAAACCAACAGAGAAAAAAATACCTTGAGAATAAAGGTAATGATTAATCTATCAGGCACAAAGAGGATCATTTGGGGGATTTCAGGTTCTAACCTGCTAATTCAAATAAACAACTGTGAACAGGAGATGACAATTTCACCAGAAGAGGATTAAGTCACGGGTTCTAATTGGGACAGTGTTTGTACAGTCAGAGAAGCTCACCAGACATCTCCAGGAATCGGTGAGCAGTTGTCAAAACTTCCATTTTCATGTGCGAGTGAAGTAGGGACCAGAAGAAGCAGGTATTGGTGGAGAGTGGTCCTTGGAGAAGACCCAAGATGCAGCCTGGGAAAGGGCGAAAGGGGAAGAGCTTCAAGCGAAGACTGGTCTTGAAGAGCACCTTAGCTAAAGAAACAATCTCTGAGTTCTTGGGCACCTTTATAATGATCGTAAGTGTTTCCTGAATCCTGACCCAATTATGCCTTCCTTTCTACCCAGCTGGTAATGAATAGTTTTGTTTTCTTTTCTTTAAGTTTGTCGCTAGATTCATCTCTTCCAGGAAATAGCACATTCCTTCCGGGCTGTTTGGCTCTGTACTGGCCACAAGGTTGGGTTTCCATTTACACATTTCATTTATTCACAAGAGTTGATGGGGACAGGAGAGGGGGAGTGAACTACTTTCTTCACTTCAGCAATTTACTGAGATTCTGAGCTGGCTTTGATTAAAATCAGTCATTAGTAATTTGTCTCATTGATTAATTGATTTCTACCTTGTTTATTTCCCACAAATATTGAGGTGACTCAGTCACTTGAAGTAAGAACTGGCAGTCAATAAATATGAGTGGCAAGAAACAGCTCAGTATTACAAGTGCTCGGCAAAGATTGTGTTGTCATATCATTTGACTTTTAACAAGTTAGAAATTACACTAGATAGAAATATGCATTCTACAATCATCCATCTTTGGTTTTACCTCATTTTTCCCCTCTTTTTACCCGAAACTGATATCTAAAGATCTTCAATACAACAGTTATAAGAAACGTGTGTGTGTGTGTGTGTGTGTGTGTGTGTGTGTGTGTGTGTGTATAAACAGAAGGATTGATTCTAAGAACCACTCAAGGATTTTGTCCAGAGAACTGCACAGCTATTAAGGAAAGACTGGATAGTTTATGTAAGTGGCACGGGCTCTAAGCTTCCACCCTATTGCATGCTATAGCATTCTTTGGATCCTGAATTTTCAGCTGGAGCCAGAAAATTAAATTTTCAATTATTCTCATACGCAACAACCACTGACTTTAACTTGCTTTAAAAAAATCCTCTCAAGGGGCTCTTGGGTGGCTCGGTTGTTTAAGCATCTGACTTCGGCTCAGGTCATGATTTCATGGCTCGTGAGTTCGAGCCCCGTGTTGGACTCTGTGCTGATATCTCAGAGCCTGGAGCCTGCTTTGTATTTGGTGTCTCCCTCTCTCTCTGCCCTGCTAATGCTCTCTCTCTTTCTCAAAAATAAATAAATGTTAAAAAAAATTTTTTTTAAAACTCCACTCAAAGATTCCCTACTTCAATATTAATAATTTCATTTTTCTTAAAGTTATAGAGATTTGTCCATAAACTTACAAGTTCTTGCTGATATACAGCATGGTGACTACAGTTAATAATACTGTATTGCATACTTGAAAGTTGCTAAGAGCATAAAGTTTGTTATCAGGAGAAAAAAATTTATAACTATGTTGTGGTAAGTGTTAACCAGACTTGTTGTGGTTATAATTTCATAATATATATAAATATTGAATTATTATATTGTACCCCTGAAGCTAATATAATGTTTACAAGTCAGCTATATCTCAGAATAAAGTTCTTTGCTTTGTATAAATACATAATTTAGGAGTATAAGCCAAAATCAAGAAACAAGTGTGAACTCAAAAAATTGAACTAGTGTAAATTGAGAGAAAGTCATAAGTGTTCTGGTCTCTGAGAACCTCTTTTTACTGAATTCACTCAAGTATTCTTGAGGCAAATGGACAGCTATTTGCACTCTTTCTTGACTGTCCTCACTCGTGTTAAGAATGTGGATGGGAGGGCGGGTGGTTGGAGAAAAAGAGAGAAAATAAAAGCCCATGATTCTTCTTTAAAAAAAAATTTTTTTTTTAATGTTTATTTTTGAAGGAGAGAGAGACAGAGTGTGAGCAGGGGTGGGGCAGAGAGAGAGGGAGACACAGAATCTAAAGTAGCTCCAGGCTCTGAGCTGTCAGCACAGAGCCCGATGCGGGGCTCAAACTCACAAGCTGTGAGAACATGACCTGATCCGAAGTCAGACACTTTAAGGGACTAAGCCACTCAGGTGCCCCAAGCCCATGATTCTTCTGATCTTACTCTGTGCTTACTGGAAAATCACCCTCAGTGAGACCAAAACTGTTCATGTTACTTGAAATTTGGTCCCAAAGAAGAGAGTGGATTATCACTACAGACTCGATGCAGCTCTATGGTGACCTGTGGTACTGAGAAGTAAAGCAAATTCAGTTACACTCTGTAGTCGTCTGCAGAAAACACGGAGGAGGAAGTGAACTAAACAACCATTTTGCAACTGAAAATGTTAAAAACCCTCCTTTTTTTTTTTTTAATTTAAACCCTCCTTTCTTAACAAGAAGCTGTTTCTTAATCTCATTCCCTCCGAGTTGAGTAAGTGAAAGTTACCGTCAGCCATTTACTCATACAATTAGTAGCATGTCTTCCCCTACCATTCACAGTGGGAGCTAAACACATATCTTCATACTGTATATTGAAAAATAAAACTTTGTGTCTTCTGGCCAAAGCCAATAATTTCCTAAATGATTCATTTCCATCTCCACTGTACATTTATTTTTTAAAGCAAACTCTTATGGAATCCATAATTGTGATTATAATATTTTTATTAAGGCTTGGGGGTATATATGCCAGAAGTTTTCGCACAACACAATATTTTTACTAACCAATTATGTGGCTTTGCTCAACTCTTAGCCAAAATAATTATTTCTGCTTTATTAGAAAATGTGCATAATATGTTGCTTTGTATAGTAGAAAGCTTTGATTGTTGACAAGGTATGGGCAAAAGGGAACATAAAAAAAAAAAAAGATGGCAGAGGATATGCAGGACTCATCAGTCCTTCAAATTTGGCTTTTCCCCCAGACCCTGAGAGTCTGGTGCCATTTTCCTCCTTCCACTCAAAAACCTGCCCTTAGAAGAAATATCTTAAACTCATTTATACCATGGTGCAAATGACTAATAAGGCCCACTGGTAGCATTAAGGTTCATGAAAAATTCTTTGTAAACTATAACTAAAAACAGCAATAACTAGGTTATAATCAAAGAATTAGCTCTAATTTGGGCTTATAGACATGGGATAGGTATACCTTTTCACCTTTGCTAGTGCCAGGGAGAGGGGTCACAGTGGATCTTCCCTAATACATAGAAGGGTTTCAAAGCCTTGAGCTGCAAACGTAGGGAGGGAGTATGTACTAAGTACCTACCATATGTTAGCTTCTTTACATACATTTGTTTAATCCTACAATAGCTGCATTGGGAAGGCTTTATTATTACTCATAAACAATTGAAGAAATGAGGACTCAAAGAGATGAAGTCACTGGCCCAAACCAGGAAAGCACTGAACTGGCATTCTTTCTAATTCTAGAGCCTACACTTCCCACCCATTGCTGGAGTTCCTTCCACAATGTCCTTGATAGATAGTAAATCAGACTCCCTCCACTTGAACGTCTCCATAGACTGGAGCCATGAGTTAGCTCTCTCATTTGCTTGCAGTCACGTGAGTTTAACTGGTGGGCACCTGATGAGGCCAGACCATGAGTTGTACCCCCAAAGCTTTCTGAAGCAGAAAACACTGCTCAACAGGGGTCACTGCTCAACAAGGGGAAGGGAGCGAGCAGGGGAATCCTTAGCCTTCTGCACATGGCTCAGGGCTTGGGGATTTCAAACTGCACATTAAATACCCACTACATGTAAAGCTCCTGAGATAGGAACCGCTCATAAAATGCTGGCTCCCTTTCCCCATGCTCGCCCCTTCCCCTCTTCTACTTCAGAGTCTTTGTAGTACTTGAAAACGGCTTCTTTGTCTCCTTCTGGACATCTTGCAGGCTCCTTCCCCCAACATCTGCCACAGAACTCTGCACATACGTAAATGGGTCCCCATAAATGTGTGTTCAATTAAAATGTCTTTTGGTGGCTGAAATTCCCAGAATCTCTAGTCATTTCTTGTAGCAGCTATGTTTATTCCTCACCACTCCATGCACCATTTCCTGTCTTCAAATGTTTCCGGATTCTTTGATACAGAGTTCATCCTATTGAAGATGCTGAGGTGAACAGCCTGGCAAGCAGCTATATTTCCTCTTGTGGTGGAAGGGCATCCTTCCAGGGCAGAATTTATGAGTGGGTGATCATCTCCTTGTGTATTGGGAAAGACTCTAAATTCTTGTCTCACTCTGTCAAGCTTGCACATTAGAGATCTACCTTTCTGCATCTCTAAGATTGAAAAAATGTAAATACTTCTGCTAAAAGTAATAGCCTCGATCTGTGCCCTGAAGGTGAAATAGAATGAGCAGAGACCTGGGACACAGGATGTGGAGGGCATAAGGGAGTGGGCAGTGCAGGAGGGAGGGAGGAAGTGAGATGGATGGCACATGACAAATGTCAAACCCCACAGTGATTTCCATGTCTGCTTCTGCCTTCCTCCGTGACTTCATGACCAAACTTCCCACTTTGCCAAAGTCACTGAGTTTGCCATTCTGTTCTTGGAGAGATACCAGATATGCTAACTATAGAAATTCTAGGTCTTTAAAATTATTATTACAAAGTGTGCTCAGATCTTAGAGTGGGTCTATTTCATACTGGAGAGCTTTTGAAACAAAAGAATATATGATTAGCATTTAGAGTAAAATAGGAAAATTCTTAAGACAAACCAGTTCTTAAAATAAGTGCTTTGCAGGGCATAATTCAGGACATTTGGGACTGCTACATATTTAGAATTTCCAGGTACTAGTAGGACAGCTCTGAGAACCGGATGAGATAGATGTTGCTGGACCTTCCTATTGATGGGGAAGCTGACACACAGATTGATGCAATCATATGTCCTTTGAGTCAGTGTGGAGCCCACACTGCCTTAAGCATAAACTTCTCTTGGTTTCCACTGCGTTTTCCCTCCAAGAGGCATAGAGTGCCTTCTCAGGTAGATTATTTTCAATTTCATTTTGGTTAATATACAGTGTTATATTTCAGGTGTACAATATAGAAATTCAACTATTCTATATATTACTCAGTGTTCATCATGATAAGTGTACTTTTAATCCCCTTTACCTATTTCATCCAGCCCCCACCTACCTTCCCTCTGGTTACCAGTTTGTGCTCTAGAGAGTTTGTCTCTTTTTGTCTTTGCTTGTTTTGTTTATTAAAGTCCACATATGAGT